TACTCTATGCGATTTTAGGTTTTAAAAGTGACTTGTATCAGATGTCTGCATTTAAACTACACACCGCAAAGACTCAATGACCCAGAAAAATAGAGTGGGTGCTGACTGACAGTTGTGATAACAAAATGGTGCTCTTTTTTTTTTTTTTCTAACATTCCTGTATTTTACTCGTTTTTTTGTTTTTTTTTGTGCTATAGTTTCACAGAAACATTCTCATTTGTTCATTTGTTTAAACTAGTTGCCAGTTAAAGGTTTAAGGTGCTGTTTGTACGTTTTAGATTCTTCTAAAGCAGGAGTCTGGAACCTTTTTTCAGCAAAGAGCCATTTCTAATTTTTTTGAAATGCATTATTTTAAAGAGCCATTTGGATTTATATATCTCAAAATGCCTCTTTAAAAATGCATTTATTACTGTATTACTATAAATTACTAAAATTTTATTAAAGTATTACTACAAATATTATATTATTATTTATAATATTACTTTAAATAATACAGGTTTAAACAAAACCTTATTATATGTCCAAATGTACAAAAAAAAAAAAAAAAGCAGCATCACATGTTGAGCAAGTCCATGAATGAAGATAGAACAATTTATAGTATTATGCCATCACCACTCATGATTGTTGTTTGAATTTAATTTACCATAGAAACTTAAGTTGTTTGCCACAGCCATGTCACCCTGCAGCCCAAGACCGGTTACTCACTGAAGCTAAGCAGGGCTGAGCCTGGTCAGTGCCTGTATGGGAGACCACTAGGGAACACTAGGTTGCTGTTGGAAGTGGTGTTAGTGAGGCCAGCAGGGGGCGCTCAACCTGTGGTCTGCGTGAGTCCTAATGCCCCAGTAAAAGTGAAGGGGACACTACACTGTCAGTGGGCGCCGTCTTTCGGAAGAGACGTTAAACCGAGGTCCTGACTCTCTGTGGTCATTAAAAATCCCATGGCACTTCTCGTGAAAGAGCAGGGGTGTGACCCCGGTGTCCTGGCCAAAGTCCCTCTATCACTGTCCCTCCACTCCACCAATAGCTGGTGTGTGGTGAGCGCACTGGCGCCGTTGTCCTGTGGCAGCCGTCACATCATCCAAGTGGATGCTGCACACTGGTGGTGGTGTGAAGAGACCCCCCTCATGATTGTGAAGCGCTTTGGGTGTACGGCCATACACAATAAATGCGCTATATAAATACACATTACATTACATTACATTACATTACATTTTTATTGGTGTGATAATTCAAGTTTATCCACAGCACAACAAACGCACATTAATCAAAACCTCCTTTTATTTTTAACTGAGTTCTTATTCATTGTGCTGTTAAAATTACAATTAAAAAGGGGATTGCAATTGTATTTTTGATAGAAAACTGACTTTTAGTGATGGTCATAATTTTTTAAACGGTAAAATAATATTGAAGGTAGATAGCTGGAGAGTAGGGCTGGGCAATTTGGCAAAAAAAAAAACTAGGTTTTTTATAAAGTTTGACCGATACACGATTTTGATTTCGTTTTTTTTTTTTTGTGTTACTAGTCTTCTCAAAACATTACAACAACATGACTGAAGTAACATTCTCATTAAAATTAACTTAAACCATCTGGTTAAGGAACATTGTATTTTTAATGGCCATGTCATACAAAAATCGGTCAAGGTGTAAATAAATGTAAAACAAATTCACAAGTTAAATAGTGTTGCTGAAGATTTGAATAAGAAATATTTGTGTAAATATTGCAGTTGCAGGAATACAGAGGTATTTGTTGCAAGTTTTGCTGAGTCTAGGAAAGATTGGCTGTCAGCTCGGCTTTGTCTTTGTCTTCTGATTGAATGACAGGTTGTATTGTTGCTGCCTTTTCTTAAAAAGATACAGTGGAAGAAAAGGACTGAACATGGAAACTGTAAAGCCTAATTTAACCCAATATGTGAAGTTGTGCACGTATAGCAGGAGCAAATACAAGCACCAGATGTGTGTCTAATATAAAATAATATATTTAATCTATTTTTTCTTTTTCCCCCTCTTAAATACCGATTATTTGATGCGCTTTGCTCCACTCCCTGTATTATGCTGCCTGATCTGTCTGGTTTTCAATCAGGTCCGCTAAATGGTCATGGGGGCGGCTACTTTCATTTTCACTGCTACAGGCCCTCACCTCTGCTCGTGTTCAAACCAAAAGATCGGCGCTGTTTTTCACATGGCAGGGTTTTACGTCCTTCATACATGTTGAGATCGAGTTTATCGACTTGATGAGGGAATGTCGTGACAATCCACACAGACGTGCAACAAGTAAAATCCTACATGACTTCACGCTTTAACAGGCAGTCAAGCAGGTCGCACACCAGAAGCGCCGCAACACGGCGCGCAAATGACAGTTTAAACTATCACACACCAAACGATCACATTCGCATGATATTTAACATGAAACTAATCAGATGGCGCTCTGTGGCACGGCTGAAATATGACCTGCGTCCTGAATCGTGGTGCTGCATGGCGCGTCGCCGAGAGGCGCTTCTGTTATGCTTCCTGCTTCATACAGAGAGTGAACCAAAGCGCATTGGTGCCATTATAATGTACTAAATATGTTTTTTTTTTAAAAATAGCGATTTCTCGATTTGATTTAAAATTAAATCGTCTGAAAACGTAAATTCGAATTAATCGAAAAAATCGGAAAAATCACCCAGCCCTACTGGAGAGTCGCATTTTTTTTGAGAGCCGTAGGTTCCCTACCACTAAAGCATAAAAACATCACAATATGTTTGCAGATAATTAACAAACGTGCGCAGTGAACATTCTTGTTTATGTTAAAAAACGTGCTGGAACGTCTGTCTTTGTTTTGGTCCCTTTAACACGCCCACTGCCACTTTAGCCAATTATATTTTAGCACCCAGGCTTGCCTTAGTGGAAAACAAATATTAGCAAATAATATTGAACAGGTTACATTGTAACCCTGTGTACTAACAACAAGCGGTGTGTCGAGTTTGGATGATCTGACCTTGAAATCTTTCGCTACCATTTTTAATGATATGCGACTCACATGTACAGGTGAAAATTCGCTCTACCTGCTTACACAGCAGACATGAAGGCACATCTAGGACTCGTATTGGACTGATTTGAGTAATCAGATTTTTTTCTGTTTATCTGTGCCACATGGGAGAAGGAAATCAGAATTGTGTCTTTTGAAACATGCAGTGCAAATGCAGCCTTATTTGAGGAAGCCCTGCTGGTGGATTGGCGTCATACTGTGTTGTTGTTGTTGTTGTTGTAGGTGGGTGATATCGTGAGAGTAGCCAAAGACGAGACGTTTCCCGCAGATCTGGTGCTGTTATCATCGGATCGGGCCGAGGGGACGTGCCACATCACCACCGCCAGCCTTGACGGAGAGACCAACCTGAAGGTCTGTTTCTCTGCTCTCGAACTGAAGCCACTCACTGAATTACTTGCGGTGATTAAAGTGCCCCTATTATGCTGTTTTCATGCTTTATAATTTTGTCTTGGAGGCCTCTCGCTAGAGCCGCATAACCATCCAAGGTCAAAGAAGATTTTCATTTTCTCATTATATTCATTGCAGCGTCAGCTTTTCAGAGCCTCAAACAGGGATTTTTAAACAGTTGGATTAAAGTACACATCACGTGACATCAAAACTAACCATGTTGATTCTGTTAGCTCACGTTTCTAGATGTGGAGAACAATTCATCATGTCATCAAGAGGAAAATGTTTGCCCTTGTGTCATCTTTAATTGAATCTGAAAATGCACTGTAATACTTTGATCAATCAGAGAATTGATTGATCGACTAATCAGTGCAGAGGATTTTGACCAATCAGGGGTGCGTTTCCCAAACAACAATGCAACTCGCGGCTGAACTATCATAGTGCGATGCATCGTTTAGGGAAAGAACGATGTAGTGTCGAGTGTTACCCAAAACCCGTCGCAGATCCATCGCTTGAACTATGTGAGTTATAACATGTAACGCCCATAATGGCGCTCTAAACAGGGTGGAGGAACTACTTCTTTAGAGAAAAACCCATCATATCTTTGTGCAAATTATATTGTTTTACACGAACACGCATTTAAAATAAAATCCAATGTGAGTTTTGGTAAAAACATGCACTCGCTTTCCATATTAACTGAAATATATGTAGATGGCACATAGCTTTACTAATATTATTGAGAAGTTGAACATTGCATATTGTGTTCTAAAACATATCACTTACAAAAGCTAACACATATTCTAATATCATATATAAATCATATAAATAAATAATGAGGCTATTAATTGAGAAATGAAATGTATTATTTATTATGAAATGAAAAAAATCCTTACTACTTTTTTTTAACAAGTGTTTTTATTAGTTTTACATTGTCCAACAATTACCAAACAACACAACTTGTATAAAAAATACCAGGAATAAGCATGATAATACAAAGTAAATAACGGTAATAATAAATAAAATAAAGAAAAATAGATTTTAAAAAAATTAAATAAGTTATTATTAAAAAAACAATTAGGGCATATAAACGGTTTCTATGAAAATACAGAAAGACAGTCAATAGGGGGAGTGAGCATATTAAGCATTACATTGCTGCTCGGAATCCGCATTATATTGGTCCAGGTGATCAAGAAATGGTTGCCATATAATATAAAACTCAGCAAGATTATCAATAACTCCATATCAGACTCTTTCCATGTGCAAAATTTGAGTGAGATAAGTTAACCATGTCTTGAATTGAGGAACAGAATCTGATTTCCACAGTTTTAGGATGACACTCTTAGCAATAATCATTTCATAAATGATGGTGAAAAATCCTTACTACTTTAATAATAATGATATAAATTATATTATTGATGATGATAATGATGATGAGTATCATTGTATTATTATTATCATTATTATTATTGTTATTATTATTATTATTGTTGTTATTATTATTATTATTATTTTATTATTATTATTATTATTGTTATTATTATTATTATTATTGTTAAGTAGGATTTTGTATATTTATTTTTATTTTTTGAAAAGTCTACTTTAACGATGTCACATGTAAACCACTGCAGAAAGTTCTGACCAGCAGGCCCATGTCATATACAGTACAGATAATAAGATATAATAAATAACCCACTAAAACCCTGAAAGCAGAGTAGGTCAAGGTGCTCCAGTCAACAGAATGAACATTATTGAGCATGTCTGGGGTAAGATGAAGGAGGCATTAAAGATGAACACAAAGACTCTTGATGAACTCTGGGAGTCCTGCAGGAACGCTTTCTTTGCCGTTCCAGATGACTTTATTAATCAGTGGTTTAAGTCGTGTCAGAGATGTATGGATGCAGTCCTCCAAGCTCATGATGGAGTCAGACACAATATTCATTCTGTCTCCACTGCAGCAGGACTTTATATTCTATACTGGACATTATTTCTGTTCAGTGATTTAGTCTGAGCAGAGTCAGATCTTACTGTCCTAATGAAATCATTAATAATCAAGACATGATCATATTTTACTGTGGTAAAATAAGCATCATCTAGAGGCCTTTGCCTTTCATATAAGCCACTTCAGATACCAAATGATCAACCAGAAGTCCAGTTATTATATGTTGCTCCTAAATCTTGGACTGGCGACAAGACTTTCGTCAGTTTGTGTAGTTCTAATATGTAACCTGGTCTTGACACTGGAAGTTTTCTCTGTGCGGATGTTTAGACCCACTATGCTGTGCCGGAAACGGCGGTGTCGCAGTCTGTGTCGCGGCTGGAGTCTCTGCAGGCGGTGGTGGAGTGCCAGCAGCCAGAGGCAGACTTATACAGGTACCTTTCACAGCTGACCACTGAAACACAGAGCTTTACAATCCTGCGCATCCACATTCGATTTTATGGCACTTTGGCTTTTATCCTGACGCAGCACATTCTCTCCCCTCTCAGGTTTGTCGGGAGAATAACAGTAACCCAGCATGGAGAGGAGATAGTCAGGTAAGGCTTTAGTTTACTCGATCAGAGGAAATAAAATCATTTGTAGATGTATGTTTTTATTTTTGTTTATTGTATGCATATTTAGGTTATTATTTGTGTTTTTTGTATGTTTGTGTTACTCATTTCAGACCATTAGGACCAGAGAACCTCCTGCTTCGAGGAGCAAGATTAAAAAACACCAAAGAAATATTTGGTACATCATCCACACCATTGTCTTGTGAACAACACAACACGAAATCCAAATCGCACGCATTTTCTCTCATAACACACGTTCACAACTTGTTACGGCACTGTGCTTGCTAAAGATAAGTTTGTGTTTGTAATCTTTAAACAAAATTGCGAACCTGCACCATCTATAAAGCCCTTCTTCAGTTGAATGGGTGAATGTTTTAGTATTTGTTACTAGAGCTCTGGAAAAGCATTTGGGAAATTGATTCTTCCGATTGTCAAAACTCATCGTATTCTCTCTTATTGGATTCTGAGTAGTTTTTAATAGGCGATGGAGCTGTGTGGTTTACAGACTGCAGTACTCTGCTTGTATCCAATTCTTTACACAGACTACTTACAACTAAAATAATCATTACTAGAGTTAGGAAAGGTTTAAAGAAGTGTTCATGGTGAGCTGTGTTTACATTAATCTCATGACATAAGAGCAGCTTGTAAAAGTCAGCTGAACACTCAAGCACTTTTTCTCCTGAGCGTTTAAGTATAATGTCAAAGCTAGCCTAGAGCAACATTGGCTATTACAAACTAGCCTAGAGCACTGTCTGCTGTTTAAAACTAGCCCAGAGCTCCTCCTAGAGCGACATGTGCCGCTAAAAACTAGCCTAGAGCACTGTCTGTAGTTTAATACTAGCCTAGAGCGCCATGTGCTGTTAAAAACTAGCCTAGATCACTATGTGCTGTTAAAAACTAGCCTATAGCACCACCTAGAGTGCCATGTGCTGTTAAAAACTAGCCTAGATCCCCATGTGCTGTTAAAAACTAGCCTAGATCACTATGTGCTGTTAAAAAACTATCCTAGAGCACTGCGTGCTGTTAAAAACTAGCCTATAGCACCACCTAGAGTGCCATGTGCTGTTAAAAACTAGCCTAGATCCCTATGTGCTGTTAAAAAACTAGCCTAGAGCACCACCTAGAGCGCCATGTGCTTTTAAAAACTAGCCTAGAGCACTATGTACTGTTTAAAAACTAGCCCAGAGCACTGTCTGCTGTTTAAAACAAGGCTAGAGCACTGTCTGCTGTTCAAAACTAGCCTAGAGCACCGTCTCCTGTTTAAAACTAGCCTAGAGCGCCATCTGCTGTTCAAAACTAGCCTAGAGCACAGTCTGCTGTTCAAAACTAGCCTAGAGCGCCACCTACTGCTCAAAACTAGCCTAGTGTGCCAACTGCTGTTCAAAACTAGCCTAGAGCTCCGACTGCTGTTCAAAACTAGCCTAGAGCTCCAGCTACTGTTCAAACTAGCCTAGAGCTCCGTCTGCTGCTAAACACTAGACTCGAGCTCCATCTACTGTTCAAAACTAGCCTAGAGCTCCATCTGCTGTTCAAAACTTGCCTCGAACAGTCAGTGTCTACTTTTAAAACTAGCCTAGAGCTGCATCTGCTGTTAAACACTAGCCTAGAGCGCAGTCTATTATTCAAAAGTAGCCTAGAGCACAATCTACGGTTCAAAACTAGCATAGAGCTCCGTCTACTGTTCAAACTAGCCTAGTGCGCCATCTGCTGTTCAAAACTAGCCTAGAGCTCCATCTACTGTTCAAAACTAGCCTTGAGCGCCATCTGCTGTTTAAACTATCCTAGAGCTTCATCTGCAGTTCAAAACTAGCCTAGAGCACCGTCTACTGTCAAAACTGACCTAGAGCTCCATCTACTGTTCAAAACTAGCCTTGAGCGCCATCTGCTGTTTAAAACTAGCCTAGAGCACCATCTACTGTTAAAACTGACCTAGAGCTCCATCTACTGTTCAAAACTAGCCTTGAGCGCCATCTGCTGTTTAAACCTAGCCTAGAGCGCAATCTGCTTTTCAAAATTAGCCTAGAGCGGCGTCTACTGTTAAAACTAGCCTAGAGCGCCATCTGCTGTTCAAAACTAGCCTTAGGATCGATGCAGAATGTCTCAAAAGCTTTTTCTCAGCTCTATTTTGAATGGTTTTGCAGCAGTGTAGTCAGTATTTCTGTTCTATAATCCTGCAGGTGTGGCTGTGTACACGGGCATGGAGTCCAAGATGGCTCTGAACTACAAGTGTAAATCTCAGAAGCGCTCTGCAGTGGAGAAGTAGGTGTTTCTTCATTTTACTGTCCACCTTTACATTCCCTCAGCGTTTCTTTACTGCTCCATTATGGCTACATCATCTCTCTCTCTCTCTCTCTCTCTCTCTCTCTCTCTCTCTCGCTCTCTCTCTCTCTCTCTCTCTCTCTCTCTGTCTGTGCAGATCAATGAATACATTTCTCATCATCTACTTGGGCATCCTGCTGTTTGAAGCCATCCTCAGCACCATTTTAAAGTACGCCTGGCAGGCGGAGGACAAGTGGAACGAACCGTTTTACAACCAGAAGACCGATCAGGAGAGAAACAGCAGCCAGGTCACTAGAAAGCGCTTATGATGGTTATTGTTTCTCAATTAAAAGGCACACTGATAAAATAATAGTATCTGAGATAGATAATAAATATCTGTTTAGTTTAGATCTGTTTAGTTGAATTCAGATCTATTTAGCTTAGTTTAGTTCAGAATGGTTTAGTTTAGTTTAGTTCCATTTAGTTCAGTTCCATTTGTTGAGTTTAGTTCAGATCAGTTTAGTTCACTTTTGTTTTATTCAGATCTGTTTAGTTTAGTTCAGATCCTTGTAGTTCAGTTCAGCTTCATTTGGTTCAGTTCAGTTTAGTTTAGTTTAGATACATTTAGTGTAGTTCGGATACATTTTGTTCAATTTCATTTCGTTCAATTCAGCTTAACTTAGTTTAGTTCAGTTTCATTAAGTTCAGTTCAGATCCGTTTAGTTCAGTTCAGTTTCATTTAGTTCAGTTTAGTTCCGTTTAGTTCAGTTTAGTTCAGTTTAGTTCCGTTTAGTTCAGTTTAGTTCCGTTTAGTTCAGTTTAGTTCAGTTTAGTTCCGTTTAGTTCAGTTTAGTTCCGTTTAGTTCAGTTTAGTTCCGTTTAGTTCCGTTTAGTTCAGTTTAGTTCCGTTTAGTTCAGTTTAGTTCCGTTTAGTTCAGTTTAGTTCCGTTTAGTTCAGTTTAGTTCCGTTTAGTTCAGTTTAGTTCCGTTTAGTTCAGTTTAGTTCCATTTAGTTCAGTTCAGTTTCATTTAGTTAAGTTCAGATTCATTTAGTTCAGTTCAGATCCATTTAGTTCAGTTTAGTAACATTTAGTTAATTTACATTTAGTTTATTTTAGTTCCATTTAGTTCAGTTTAGTTTCATTTAGTTCAGTTCAGTTCCATTTAGTTCAGTTTAGTAACATTTAGTTCAGTTACATTTAGTTAATTTTAGTTCCATTTAGTTCAGTTTAGTTTCATTTAGCTCAGTTTCATTTAGTTCAGTTTAGTTCAGATCCATTTAGTTCAGTTCAGTTTTAGTTCCATTTAGTTTAGTTTAGTTCAGTTTAGTTAAGATCCATTTAGTTCAGTTTAGATCTATTTAGTTCTGTTTAGATCTATTTAGATCATTTACACTTATTTCAGTTCAGTTTCGTTTAGTTCAGATCTATTTTGTTTATTTCTGCTCCGTTTAGTTTGCAACAGCTATTTGAAACTACTAATATATATGCAAATGTTTTTTTATGTATATACATGTGTGTGGGTATTTATAAATACATAATAAATTTTCACAGTACCCGCATATTTATCTAAATATTTTGTATGCAATTAGTCATGTTTAATTAGGTGTTAAACAACCCTACACAAATGCTTCGCTAAAACAGATGAAAATAGGTGATATTGTGTCTAAAATGTAACTCTGTATTAACAATTATTGAGCTGTTGTATAAATTCAGTATATTTCCAGATGTTCAGGAGAGCAGCACTCTTGCTTGAGTGATTTTATTGAACCATAAAGTAACTTGTGAATATTAAAAAGACAGACCTGTATGGAAATGAAAACTTCTGGCTGCATTCTGATAAGCTTTCAGCCAGTGTTTTTAGATGTGTTTTTATCTAATATACTTCTAATAATAAAATCAGCTCGCACATCATTCAAAAGCAATTATATTATAATCATAGACAATAATACTGCACATTTCTACCAGTTGGTACTAAGATGACAGCTTTTATACCCACTTTCTATTTTGATTTGTCAGTGAAGTATACATTTTCACACTGACTGTAATGCTTTGATTTCAAGACTTTGTTTTTCACTGAGATGCTGATAATTGTTTGTTCACATTTATGTATTATGGCTCTTTGATGCCTCCCAAGTCTAGGTTTCTAGGTTTCACCTTTTTCTTTTTTCCCTTTACAGATTTTGAAGTTTATTTCGGACTTCCTGGCTTTCCTGGTGTTGTATAACTTCATCATCCCCATCTCGCTGTACGTGACTGTGGAGCTGCAGAAGTTTCTGGGCTCCTTCTTCATCGGCTGGGACTTGGATCTGTACCATGAAGAAAGTGACCAGAAAGCTCAAGTCAACACATCAGACCTCAATGAAGAGCTGGGCCAGGTGTGTGTGTTCGGCAGGGCTCTTTCGACTGCTCTACGCTTGCTTCAATTTTAATTGAGTGTTTTTAAGGTTTGAAAAGTTCTTACATTTTGAATCAAGTGCTTGAAAATATCTTAATTTGTTACTAAATAGATATATATTAATAAGAGTTAATACAGTAATTAAATAAATAATAATGGTAATAATTATATATATTGATTTTGCATCAAATGAAAACCCAGGAGTCTATTTACATGGATTTATATCTATACTAGAGTGTCTGTTTACATCTACAGTATATCTGTACCTATTATTTAAAGTAGTCATGAAATCAAAAGCCTCTCTTCGCGTTTTATATGTGTATAGTAGGGCGGCACTATCAGTGTTTTAGGGTAGGGCTAGCAGTCCTTTAGGGTGGGACTATCAGTAATTTGGGGCGGGGTTATCAGTGTGTTTCATGGTGGGAGGTGGCACTATCTGTAATTTGGGGTGGGGTTATCAGTGCTTTAGGCTGGAACTATCAGTGATTTTTGGGGTGGGCTATCAGTAATTTGGAGTGGGATTATTAGTGCTTTGGGGTGGGACTATCAGTGATTTTGGGGTGGGACTATCGGTGATTTTTGGGGTGGGACTATTGGTGATTTGGGGCGGGGTTATCAGTGCTTTGGGGTGGGACTATCAGTGATTTTTGGGGTGGGACTGTCAGCTGTAATTTGGTATGGGGTTATCAGTGCTTTAGGGTGGAACTGTCAGTGATTTTTAGGGTGGGACTGTCAGTAATTTGGGGCGGGGTTATCAGTGCTTTAGGGTGGAACTGTCAGTGATTTTTAGGGTGGGACTGTCAGTAATTTGGGGCGGGGTTATCAGTGCTTTAGGGTGGAACTGTCAGTGATTTTTAGGGTGGGACTGTCAGTAATTTGGGGCAGGGTTATCAGTGCGTCAGGGTGGGACTATCAGGGATTTTTTGGGTGGAACTATCAGTAATTTGGGGCGGGGTTATCAGTGCTTTAGGGTGGAACTATCAGTGATTTTCGGGTGGGACTATCAGTAATTTGGGGCGGGGTTATTAGTGCTTTGGGTGGGACTGTCAGTGATTTTTGGGGTGGGACTGTCAGTGATTTTGGGTGGGGTTATCAGTGCTTTGGGGTGGGACTGTCAGTGATTTTTGGGGTGGGACTGTCAGTGATTTTTGGGGTGGGACTGTCAGTGATTTTGGGTGGGGTTATCAGTGCTTTGGGGTGGGACCACCAGTGATTTTTTAGGTGGGACTGTCAGTGATTTTGGGTGGGGTTATTAGTGCTTTGGGTAGGGACTATCAGTGATTTTTGGGGCGGGGTTATCAGTTCTTTGGGGTGGGACTATCAGTGATTTTTGGGGTGGGACTATCGGTGATTTGGGGTGGGTTATCAGTTCTTTGGTGGTGGGACTATCAGTAATTTGGGGTGGGACTGTCAGAAATTTGGGGCGGGGTTATCAGTGCTTTGGGGTGGTACTATCAATGATTTTTGGGGTGGGACTGTCAGTAATTTGGGGAGGGGTTATCGGTTCTTTGAGGTGGGACTATCAGTGATTTTTGGGGTGGGACTATCGGTGACTTGGGGTGGGTTATCAGTTCTTTGGGGTGGGACTATCAGTGATTTTTGGGGTGGGAATGTCAGTAATTTGGGGCGGGGTTATTAGTTCTTTAGGGTGGAACTATCAGTGATTTTTTTTGGGGTGGGACTATCTGTGATTTGGGGTAGGTTATCAGTTCTTTGGTGGTGGGACTATCAGTAATTTGGGGTGCGGTTATCAGTGCTTCAGATTGGGACTATCAGTAATTTTTGGGGTGTGCCTATCTGTGATTTTTTGGGTGGGACTATCAGTAATTTGGGGCGGGGTTATCAGTACTTTAGGGTGGGACTATCAGTGATTTTTTTTGGGTGGGACTATCAGTAATTTGGGGCGGGGTTATCAGTGCTTTAGGGTGGGACTATCAGTGATTTTTGGGTTGGGGCTATCAGTAATTTGGGTTGGGGTTGTCTATGACTTGGGGGTTGTCAGTGACTTAACTAAAACATTAAGAGAGGTATAGGAGGTAGAAGTATGTGGTGACGTCAAAACAGTTGTTGATCCATTTAGACTTTGGAAGAGGTGTAAGAAAACTGGTGCGTGTGAACTTGAACTCAGGGTCTATGGAAAAGGATGCCTGCCATTAGTAAATGATGCTAATGCTGCGCCCACAGGTGGAGTACGTCTTCACTGACAAAACGGGGACCCTGACGGAGAACGAGATGCAGTTTCGGGAGTGCTCCATCAATGGGGTCAAATACCAGGAGATCAACGGGAAGCTGGTTCCTGAAGGACTGACAGAAGACACACCAGACGGATCCCTGCCTTGTCTGGTGAGGGACATGTTTCATGTTCATTTTCACTGTAATAGAGTTATCACTGTTTGTCATTAAAACAGCTCATCTGACATTACTGTGAAGAGAAATTAAAGCAAAACAGAGTTCATTCTGCTTTTTAATGCAGAAGTATTGTTGTTTTTTGTGCAGAATGTATTAAAGCAGGAGCTATTACTGTTTGTTGCTATATTAAAGCTTGTTTTATATTACTGTGATGAGAAATTGAAGCAAAAATGTGGTTTATTCTGTGCAGGAAATGTTGAAGTATTGCAGAATGAGTGGTTTAAAGCAGGAGCTGTGATGAATGACAGACATTACAGTGTTTACAGAGAGCAAAACCTTGAGAAGACCAGTTTTACATCACTCGGTGACACTGTTATTTCACATGATGCTCCCTCTCTGTGTGTGTGTGTGTGTGTGTTTCAGAGCCGTGAAGAGGAGCTGTTCCTGAAAGCCGTGTCTCTGTGTCATACGGTGCAGATCAGTTATGATCATCCTGACGCCGCGGCGGACCCCTTCTCTCACGCTAACGGCTTCTCTGCGCAGATGGAGTATTACGCCTCGTCTCCTGATGAGAAAGCTCTCGTGGAGGCCACCAAGAGGTCTCGCACATCTCCACATATCTCCTCCATCAGATTAATATTATTTATTGAACCACAGTGGGGAAAATCAGTATTGAACACGTCATGTTTTTTCCTGGAAGTAATATTTCTGATGTCACAGGTTTGAGTTTTTCACAGACTTCAACAGAGTGTCTAAATCTAGATGTTCTGTGGGTCTCGTCTATCAAATCTGAGCTTTATTTTGTATTTTTATTGGATTCAAGTCAGGTGATTGGCTGGGCCATTCTACAGCTTGATTTTCTTTCACTGAAAGCATCTGAGAGTTTCCCTGGCTGTGTTTTGGATCAACGTCTTGCCTAAATGTCCACCCTGGGTTTATCTTCATCCTTCTAATGTAGATTCTGGACTGAAGCAGCTGATGTTCATTTACACTGAGGAAGGGCAGAGGGTTGCTGAAGAACTACTGAGAGATTTCAGCTGCTGTCTGGGCTTTCCATGTCTTTCTAAACCTTCCTTTCTTCATGTGTTCAATTCTTTTTCCCTGTGTCAATTCATTTTATTAGACATAACTTCATTTATAAACAAATTAGATTTGTTTCCTTTGCATATATGGATTTCTTTGGTTGTTACCAACATCTGGGAAATTTCAAGTCAACAGCAGCTTTAGAAATATGTCTTCTGAGAAACTTGGTGACGTGTTCAATACTTATTTCCTACGATGTTCATGTCTGAATAACACATTTATTGGGTGAACGGTCTTTTGAAATTGTGTTTTTGCACACAGGATGGGAGTCACGTTTATGGGAAGCCATGGAGAAATCATGGAGATTAAAAAGTTCGGAAAAGCAGAGAAGTACGCCTCACTCTTTATTTGATTCATTTTAGATCACTAATTATGATTCATAATATCCTTTCACAGTGTAAGACAAGATACTAAAAGTGAATTGGTTATATATATATATATATATATATATATATATATATATATATATATATATATATATATATATATATGTATATATATAATTATATATATAATTATTTACTGCTTTCTTTTTACAATACATCCCCAGGCGATCAATGAAAATAATACTTGCAAACATTGCATTATAAGTTTTCTAGTATTTTTGCTAATTTATTTACTGGCCACTTTATTAGGTACACCTAATAATAAACAACGTTTGTTAACGCAAATGTCTAATCAGCCAATCACATGGCAGCTACTCAATGCATATAGGCATGTAGACATGATCAAGATGCTTTGCTGCAGTTCAAACCAAACATCAGAATGGGGAAGAAATGTGATTTTAAATGTGGCATGGTTGTTGATGCCAGACGGGCTGGTCTGAGTGTTTCAGAAACTGCTGATCTACTGGGATTTTCGCGCACAATCATCACTAGGGTTTACAGAGAATGGTCTGACAAAGAGGAAATATCCGTTGAGCGGCAGTTCTGTGAGCGCAAATGCCTTGTTGATGCCAGAGGTCAGAGGAGAATGGCCAGACTAGTTCCAGCTGATAGAAAGGCAACAGTAACTCAAATAAGCACTCGTTACAACCGAGCTCTGCAGAAGAGCATCTCTGAACACACAACACGTCCAACCTTGAGGCGGATGGGCTACAGCAGCAGAAGAGCACACCGGGTGCCGCTCCTGTCAGCTAAGAACAAGAAACTGAGGCTACAATTCACACAGACTCACCAAAACTGGACAATAGAAGATTGGAGAAACGTTGCCTGCTCTGATGAGTCTCCATTTCTGCTGACACAATTGGATGGTTGGGTCAGAATTTGGCGTCAACACCATGAAAGCATGGATCCATCCTGCCTTGTATCAACCGTTCAGGCTGGTGGTGGTGGTGTAATGTGTGGGGGGAGATTTTCTTGGCACACTTTGAGCTCATTAGTACCAGTTGAGCATTGTGTCAACACCACAGTCCACCTGAGTATTGCTGCTGACCATGTCCATCCCTTTATGAACACAGTGTCTCCATCTTCTGATGGCTACTTCCTGCAGGATAACGCAGCATGTCATAAAGCTTGAATCATCTCAGAATGGTGTCTTGAACATGACAGTGAGTTCACTGCACTCAAATGGCCTCCACAGCCCCCATAACTCAATGCAATAGAGCACGTTTGAGATGTGGTTGAACGGGAGATTCTCATCATGCATGTGCAGCCGACAAATCTGCAGCAACTGCGTGATGCTACCATGTCAATATGGAGCAAAATCTCTGAGGAATATTTCCAGTGCCTTATTGAATTCACGTCATGAAGGATTAAGGCAGTTCAACCCGATACTAGTAAGGTGTACCTAATAAAGTGGCAGGTATTGAAATTAAGCTTTTCAGTGAAAAGGCAGTGCATTTAACAGTTTGCATGGAGTGGAAACCCAGATCTGAAAGCAGGATTTAAAATGGAAGTTGTAGAAAATGCCACTGGTGTCTAACTCCTAAATGACAGCCTTGGAAAATGCTGAAGCCATCTGTGTGCACAGTGTCAGAGTAGAGAGCTGTAGATGAAAGGAATGTGCAAACAAACACACAACAAAAGCACTTAATAACAAGCCCAAAATTGCCTTCGCTTTGGCAGGTGCATGAGAAGACCCAGTTAACCCGCTGTGCTTTCACACACAGGTACAAACTGCTCCACGTTCTAGAGTTTGACGCAAACCGCAGAAGAATGAGTGTGATCCTGCAGACACCTTCAGGCAAGTGCATCTAGAGTGTGTGTGTGTGTGTGTGTGTGTGTGTGTGTGTGTGTGTGTGTGTGTGTGTGTGTGTGTGTGTGTGTGTGTGTGTGAGTGTGAGTGTGTGTGTGTGTGTGAGTGAGTGAGTGAGTGAGTGAGTGAGTGAGTGAGTGAGTGAGAGATGAGTTTGCTAATGACCCGCTGTCTCACCTCAGGTCAGAAGGTGCTGTTCACTAAAGGAGCCGAATCCGCCATCCTGCCCTACACCAAGAGCGGTGAGATCGACAAAACCAGAGTCCACGTGGACGAGTTCGCTCTGGTGAGCCTTCTAGATCATTCTAGAGAGTTATTTTAGGTCCCGAGGCTTGCCATTGCTTAGAAACTGATGGTGGAATGGAGAAACACTGTCAAAAAATGACCTTTGCTGCCTTTTCAAACTACTTATTTCAAATAAGTTGAGAGTTTTTGGGACTACTTAATTGTTTTAAGTTCAATCTACTTACATTTGTAACAATATTTACGTTAATTAATCGATTTGTGTTGGGGCAACATGAAGGACTTGTGTGGAACCCAGCATTGTTTTGTAGTGCATCAAATCTTGAAGGATTAAACTTTAACTGCAACCCGTCCCGCAGTTTAGCTGGTCAATAATTAAATAGACTAAAAATATCTTGAATAATGTTAACAGCCCAGGGGTGGATTCATAATATTGTGCTTCACATGTGTATCTGGTAATCCTTTCATCCGCCTGTCAGAGCTCACATTAACCAGCTCGGAGTGAAGTCTACATCTGAACATTTCAGATGAGCAGTCCAAATTGTTCTGGGTTTGTTTGACTGCATTTTCTGCTGATAAAACCGGCTGCGAAATCCAGTTAATGAGATGTTTCATCTTGCACAGGTTTTAGTTACGCCACAGATTCAGTCATAACTCAATAACAAAATACTCTGACCGGGGGGGCCAAGTCGGAGCATTCACTCTGGTCCCCCGGGCTCTGCCATTGGTTAGAGAAAATCCAAAACAAACCATTACAATTGGCTTAAGATTGGCAAATTCGGAACACTGCAACCTGCAGAACATGGGAAGTTTAAAAAAAAAAATAATAATTAAAAATAAATAAAGAACTCCATTATTTTGAATATATATACTACATTTACCAGCCACTTTATTAGGTACACCTGTCCAACTGCTCGTTAATGCAAATTTCTAATCAGCCAGTCACATGGCAGCAACTCAATGTGTTTAGGCATGTAGACATGGTCAAGACGATCTACTGCAGTTCAAACCGAGCATCAGAATGGGGATTTAAGTGACTGAACATGGCATGGTTGTTGGTGCCAGACGGGCTGGTATTTCAGAAACTGCTCATCCACTGGGATTTTCACGCACAACTATCTCTAGGGTTTACAGAGAATGGTCCGACAAAGAGGAAATATCCGTTGAGCGGCAGTTCTGTGGGCGCAAATGCCTTGTTGATGCCAGAAGTCAGAGGAGAATGGCCAGACTGGTTCCAGCTGATAGAAAGGCAACAGTACCTCAAATAAGCACTCGTTACAACCGAGCTCTGCAGAAGAGCATCTCTGAACACACAACACGTCCAACCTTGAGGCGGATGGGCACCATGTCACAAAAGCGTGAATCATCTCAGACTATTTTCTTGAACATGACAATGAGTTCACTGTACTCTAATGGCCTCCACAGTCACCAGAGCTCAATCCAATAGAGCACCTTTGAGATGAGGTGGAACGGGAGATGTGCAGCCGACAAATCTGCAGCAACTGCGTGATGCTATCATGTCAAAATGGAGCAAAATCTCTGAGGAATATTTCCAGTACCTTGAATCTCCATGAAGGATTGAGGCAGTTCTGATTGCAAAAAGGGTCCAACCCAGTACTACTAAAGTGTACCTAATAAAGTGGCCGGTGAGTGTAAATATAAATGACAAAAACTCATAAAGACCTATTTTTGCTTTCATAGCTTGATTTGTATTCTCTATTCGTTTTAAACTCATTTTGCAAGGTGGAATGCATTTATTTATTTATTTTTTCAATAGTTTTAGGACTTCTGAGACAATGAATAATAAACCACAGTAAACCATTAAGCTCCAAGCAAGTGTGTTTATGACAATAATGTAATAAAATATCACATTACAAATGTTACACAAATGTTAATAACAGTTGATACCAACATCAAGCAGCATAACAAGCTGTTTTTACAGCTATAAATCAACAGAAGTGCATGAGAACGGATGTCTCAAGCCAATAAGATCTAACAGCTGTGAAAGAATAAGCTCAATATTCATTCTCATTCTGTCTGCTTTATTTAGACTTTCATGATATAATATTAATTGTTTTTGTTTTGCTAAGTGAGCTACAGACTCCATAATATCAGCTCAACATCATTAAAACAGCATTTAGAATCTGCCAGAGTCGACTCAACATTGCGCACTGCTGCTGAACCCCACTGTGGGCGTAGAGCAGCACTGGCTGATCCTCAGAGTGTGTGAAGTTGAGTTCTGACGCTCAGAGTTGGGTTTTATTAATTGAGAGGATGTTGATGAAGCCGTGCGGTTAATTAGCTCAGTGTGTGTCCTCATTATCAGCTGTGGAGAAACCCAGGAGAGAGACTTCACAACCACAGCACCGGTGTCTGTCTCACAAACACACACACACACACACACACACACACACACGCAGACTCTCTCTCTCTCTCTCCCATACATTGTTTCTACACTCACACAATACCAAATACTCATACATTATGCCAACTACACACAAAGCAACACATTTTCTTACCTACACACACACACCACACACACCGAATAATATGCAACAACCTCAAATTATTCTGTTAAATACCGAGGAATTACCTTGTAACGTTTCCTTAATAATTCTGGGTTGCCAGACAGTGTGTCACTGTCAAATAAGTCAAAAAAAAAATATATATATATATATATAGAGAGAGAGAGAGAGAGTTTGCATCTTCTCTCTTGATTTTTTTTATTTTTATTTTTTTTGGATTTTCGATTTTTCCATTTCTCGATTTAAAAAATCTCTATAATAAAAAACAATAAAAATAATGACTTTAAAAATCTTGAACGAAATCAAAGATATGACATAGTTCCAGAAACTTCCTACTGTTCTTCTGTTTATTCGTCTGACTTCTGTGGCTTTTCACACACATACACAAACTATCAATATACACTCTATTTCTTTTGCTCTCTCTCACACACACACACACACACACACACACAATGGTGAGGTCAGCACAGAGTCTGCTGGTCTGCTTGAGTCTGCATAGAGCTGCTCCTGCGTGCTCTCAGTGTGTCTGCCCTTAAAAGCTTTAACTCTATTACAGCGTCTCCAGATGAAGCAGCTCGTCACGTCTCCTACATTACGTCAGCATTCTACAACTTTATTTTCTTCAGTACCGTAAATATCTTCTGTCCAGACTCAGATCTCTAAAGTGCAGTGCTTTAAACCTCCCGTGAAGTGCTTTGAAGTGTGCGTTTGTTATTTAATGCTTGACGTGATCACAGCTGACACATGAAGAGAGGGCGAGGAGTAGTGTAGCTCCTCCCCCTTTAAAAAAACAGCCAATAGGGTTTTGTTTTTATCACCACTACTTGAGCTTAAGCAGATCAAATGTAGCATCTTGAAGGGGGCGGGGCAGGTCAGACACAAGAGAGCATTTGATTGGTGATAAATCCATTGATCCCTTTAGACCGGTGATGTCCACTCGGTCCTGGAGGTACCGAGTGGACTCTGTATTTAATACTCGGTCCCGGAGGGCTGGTGTCCTGCAGATTTTAGCTCCAACTTGCTTCAACACACCTGCAAGGATGTTTCTAGAAAGCCTAGTAAGAGCTTGATTAGCTAGCCCTGGTGTGTCTGATTGGGGTTGGAACTAAACTTTGCAGGACACGGGCCCTTCAGAACCAAGTCTGGACATCCCTGATTTAGGCAGAAGTGACAAACTACAAGCTTTATTTCAGTTTTATATCTTCTAAACGCTCATTTTGTCGCTGTTTTAGTGCGCACTAGCTTATAGATATCCTTGGAACTAACAATACTGATAGTAACGTCTTTAAAACTTTATTTTATTTTGATGGGACCTTTAAGCTGATGTTGCTGTGTGTTTTACAGAAGGGTTTGAGGACACTGGTGGTGGCCTGCAGGCACTTCAGTGCGGACGAGTACAGAGATGTGGACCGGCGGCTCCATGAGGCCCGGACGGCTCTTCAGCAGCGAGAGGAGAGACTGGTGGAGGTCTTCAACTTCATCGAAAGAGACCTGGAGCTGCTGGGGGCCACTGGGGTGGAGGACAAGTGAGTCAGACACACACGCACACATTCTGTCTTCTAGGTGTATTATGCAGGGTGTCCTTTTAAAATGTCTGAAAGTGCAAAAGCAAAATTTTAGGCCTTTACAAAAAACACCAAAAAAGCACCAAAAAAGTTTTGTGTTGTAGGTCTTAAATGTTTTTAAACAGATCTTAATTTTAAAAGTTGCTGAAGTTAAGTTACACAGGCTAACAACATCCAGTCAGTGCATAAATATATAAATATTACAGTTGAAGTCAGAATTATGAGCCCCCCTTTAAATGTTATTTTTTTCCTTTTTTTAAATATTTCCCAAATTATGTGTAACAGAGCAAGGAAATTTTCACAGTATGTCTGATAATATTTTTTCTTCTGGAGGAAGTCTTATTTGCTTTATTTCGGCTAGAATAAAAGCAGTTTTAATTTTTTAAAAAACATTTTAAGTTCAATATTATTAGCCCCTTTAGGCTATTTTTGATAGTCTACAGAACAAACCATCATTATACAATAACTTGCCTAATTACCCTAACCTGCCTAGTTACCCTAAATAACCTAGTTAAGCCTTTAAATGTCACTTTAAGCTGTGTAGAAGTGTCTTGAAGAATATCTAGTCTAATATTATTTACAGTCATCATGGCTAAGATAAAATAAATCAGTTATTAGAGATGAGTTATTAAAACTATTATGAGTAGAAATGTGTTGAGAAATCTGCTCTCTGATAAACAGAAAACGGGACTGTAGTAGGGGAGATCTGCTTCATTCTTGTCTGTCACTGTGCTGTGCAATACAGACAGATCTCTATGGCTCTGCTGACAGGGAGAATCTGCTTGTTAAGTGTGACGTCACGCGGAGCGGCTTCCGGGTCCAAGCACTCTATTCAACTGAATGGGGAGATTCATAAAATGGTAATAATAAACGTTTACAAAGCGATTTAATACTTTCGAAAGTCGCAATATATATGTCCATGCCTAATATCCGATGGCCAGAAAGTGATTCAGTGTTTTATTAATTGTTAAAATTTTGGTATTTGTTATGCAGCAAGCCCAGAGATTGTTGTGTACACTATGACTTTATATAAAATTAACTTTAATGTGTGATAGGAATAAAACGCGATCATAAACGAATGATTTCTCCACTCAAATGAATGGCGGCTTGGACCCGGAAACAGTATTACATACATCACAAAACACGTCACCACTTAACAAGCGGATTAGCTCATTTGCCTTAAAGGTACAGTCAACAAAAACAGCTAAAATGTCCTATATTCTAATGGGTATAATAAATAATCTGATGGGCAGGGTGCAGATGAAATCTGCAGAAGTTTTTTGCTATTTCTGCGGAGAATTTTGGTTAAAATCTGCAGATTTCTGCAGAATTATTTTGGGAGTATTATAACTAAAACTTTAATATGTCAAATAAAAAGAAATACATTTTAACTTTTATTTAATGTTTAAATTGCATATCCAATTAGATTCACTTTATTTGGTAAACAAAGCAAGCCTCTCATATAATATCTTTACTAAAAGTCAGAAAATATGACTTTACAAACTGCACTGTGCATAAATCAGATGAACATTTTCATATTAGTCACTAATATCACTTAATAAAAAAACTGAATGAATTTAGATTTACACACATCATTCAAGTAAATAAACTGAATTAATGATGGGCTAAAAATCTGCAGAAATCAGCGGAATTCTGCGCGCGCAGATTCTGTGTGGGCCTAGCGATGGGTGTTTTGAGCTGAAGCTGTACAGACACATTCTGGAGACACAAAAGACTAGTCTGAAATCTTGAAAAAGGGGTAAAATTAGGTGTCTTTTTAAAAACATTTCACAAATTTCTCAGCTTTTTATTAGGAGACATTTCAAAACTCATTTCTTTCAAGGATTTTTTTTTTTTTAATCGAATCTAGCCCCTGGACTGTTTTTCTTACGACAGCGGTGAAGAATCCAATCTTCCGAAGTGCACAACTCAACCTGTGAACATTAGTGCGCTTTCCACGTCCTATATATCAGAGTGAATGTCAAGCGAGCAGTAATGAGGGTGACTTCACACACGCACACACACCCATGCTGATTGGACAGCAGTGAGTCACTCTGTGTGTGTGTGCTGCTGCTAATAATGTTTGACGTGTCGCTTTGAATCACGTGACTCTCTGTGGACTGAAGATCTGCCATCAATCTCTGTCAGCATGCCAGCAGCAGCTCGACTCAAACCCGTGAAGGCATGCTGGGACACACAGACGTGACTGCGGTGATTCCCATGAGCATTTTGACAAGCAGTTATAACTATTATTCTAAAGAGACATACAATTTCTAGTCCCCAGTCGAGACAATGAGCATTTTTAGGAAACTTCTCATTGTTTAATACTTTGTTGATGCACTTTTGGCAGCGATTACAGCCTCAAGTCTTTTTGAATATGATGCCACTAGCTTGGCACGCCTGTCTTTGGGAATTTTTGCCCATTCCTCTTTGCAGTACCTCTCAAGATCTGTCAGGTTTGATGGGAAGCGACGGTATACAGCCACTTTCAGATCGCTCCAGAGATGCTTAATGGGATTTAGATCTGGACTCTGGCTGGGCCACTCAAGACCATTCATTGAGTTGTTGTGAAGCCACTCCATTAATATTTTGAGCCACTGGTCTACTACTGTCTGTCTGTCTGTAAATATCTATATCTAGCCCATATCAGCTTTGGTATCGGTACTAGTATTAAAATCAAGCCAGCATCAGTATCGGGCCAGTATGGGTGTAAGTACTGGTTTCAGAATTGAACTCGTATTGGTACTGGTATTGAGCCCATATTGGTATCAGTACTGGTCTCAAAATTGGGCCAGTATTGGTTTCAGAATTCCTATCAGGCACTGATATCGTGCCCATATCGATATCGGTAAAAGTATTGGTACTGGTATCAAAATTAAGCCAGTATCAGTACTGGATTCGGTATTGTTACTAGGTGCATGTATTGTACCCATACCGGTATCAGGACTGGCTTTGGTACTGGTATTGGTATCGAAATCTGGCCAGTATCGATATTAGTATTGGTTTCAGAATCAGTATTGGGCACTGGTATCGTGCCCTTTCGGTATCTGCAATAGTTTTGGTAGCCTACTGGTATCACAATCAGGTCAGTATCATTACTGATTTTGGTATCAGGTACTGGTATTGTGCCCATGTCGTTATCAATACTGGTACTGATACTATTATCGAAATTGGGCCAGTATCTGTATCAGTATTGGCTTTCTTTTTGGTATCGGCTACTAGTATCGTGCCCATATCTGTATTGGTACTGATTTTGGTACTGGTATCAAAATTGGGCCAGTATTGGTATCAGTATTGGTTTTAGAATTGGTATTGGGCACTGGTATTGTGCCCATATTGGTATCGGTAATTGTATTGGTAGCCTACTGGTATCGAAATCAGTACTGGTTTTGGTATCAGGTACTGGTTTTGTGCCCATATCGGTATTGATACTGGTATCGAAATCTGGCCTGTATAGGTATTGGGTCAGTATCGGTATCAGTATTGGTTTCAGTATCTGTATTGGGCACTGGTATTGTGCCCATATTGGTATCTGTAATTGTATTGGTGGCCTACTTGTATCGAAATCAGGCCAGTATCTGTATCAGGCTAGTATCATTGCTGGTTTTGGTGTCCGGTATTGTGCCCATATCGGTATCTGTACTGATTTTTACTGGTATTGAAATCAGGCCTGTATCGTAATTGGGCCAGTATCGGTTTCAGTATTGGTATCAGGTACTAGTATTGTGCCCATATTGGTATCGGTATTGTTACTGGTATCAAAATCTGGCCATTATTGGCATCAATACTGACAAATCCTTCATCAATATTTAAGTGTTGCTAAAAAATAACATATCGTATTACTTAGTCTAATTCATGTGACCTGTTAATGCAAAGAAAATAAAAGTTGTCATTGCTTTTTCAAATCAAAAGGTCTAAGATTTTGTGGGACTGATTTGATTAGGAAGATTTTCAATTCACCTTTTCAGTTTGCAGTTTCAACACAAGGGAACACATCTGTTGTGCAATTTACGGCAACACGCCTAATAATGTTTACATTGAACTGAACTGATTTTCTGTGTTTGTGTGTATGCAGGCTTCAGGATAAGGTCCAGGAGACAATTGAAGCTCTGCGATTGGCTGGAATCAAAGTGTGGGTGTTGACAGGAGACAAGCACGAGACGGCGGTCAGCGTGAGCCTCTCCTGTGGTCATTTCCATCGCACCATGAACATCCTGGAGCTCGTGCAGCAGAAATCAGACAACGAGTGCGCAGAGCAGCTCCGCAGGCTGGCCCGGAGGTACACAGATTCACACATCATTCAAGTGTATTTTTTTTACTCAGCAGTGGTCTGACAGTGACGCTATTTGAGTTAAGATGCACTCAAAATAAATACAATTCTGGGGCAAATACTGGTGGCACGGTAGCTCAGTGGTTAACACTGTAGCCTTGCAGCAAGAAGGTTGCTGGTTCGACGTCGGCTGGGTCAGTTGGTATTTCAGTGTGGAGTTTCCATGTTCTCCCCGCGTTCACGTGGATTTCCTCCAGGTGCTTTGGTTTCCCCTACACTGGGTAGGCTATATTGTCCGTAGTGTATGTGTGTTAATAGGAGTGTATGGATGTTTCCCAGGGATGGGTTGCAGCTGGAAGGGCATCCACTGCGTAAAACATATGCTGGATAAGCTGGTTGGGTTTTTTTTTCGCTGTGGCGACCCCAGATTAATAAAGGGGCTAAGCCTTAAAGAAAGTGAATGAATGAATGAGCATATCTGTCTTGGCCATCTTTATTAATTCTGGGTGACTCATGTTACCCCAAGGGTCACCAGTTTTTCATTAAAATAAGCAAAATAAACTGCCAATAGGGTAAGCAATATAATTAGATTTTTGCTTTGAAGTAAGATAATTTTAATTACCATACTGGCAGATTATTTTGCTTGTTTTAAGGAAAAACTCACTTAATTTTGACTTATTATTTCTGAAAAAAAATTATTCATGTTTTATTAAATTTGTAATAAGGGCTTGACATTAACACCCGCCAAATGCGGGTAGATTTCAGCGGTGGCAGGTTAGACAGACACCATCACTAGCCACTTTGGCTGGTTGAAAATCATTTTCCCTGGATAATAATTCTTAAAAGCAGGGTTCGACAATAAGGATGGTCCAATATGCATGCAAAGGTGATCTTAGAATTGAGAAGCGACACGACATAATTGCATTTGCGCACGCAATAGAAAGCAGATGAAAACCAAATTAGAGGATAATTACTCGCGCTAACAGCTGAGGTGATGCGCACGACTGTTTAAAACGCGTATGCGCTCCTGTTTCCTTGCGTGAAGCAACTGTGCCTAGAAACACAACTGATGTGATAGGTTCTCTTTCAAATAGACTAGACAAATGAACATGCATCCACAGTCTTGCTGCTTTCAAGAGCTCCAGATTTTTCTTTTTGTAAGCAGCACAGGTTGCTTCTAAGGGTGTCACGATCCTCCAAATCCTCGATTCGATTACATTTTCAATTCTAAAGGCACGATTCGATTTTCGATTATGAATAATTTATTAATTAATGACGAATTAATTATTTGTAGCCTACCGTTTAAACTACCTGACCTGGATGGTCTTTGTTTTACCCATAAACAAATCATACAGTAAATAAATAAAGGCAAGATACACACATAATTACCACCTGTCAATCACTTTTTCTGCGGGACTCGTGAATAGGCAGTGATCTGTGTCGTTATAATGGCGTCGGTAAAAAAGACGCACAGCCAACAGTATCTGAGGTGTTCGCTAAAATGACTAAGTACAAGTGAGTGAAAGATTGAAGCAGTCCTCTGACTGCCTGGACCTGCTGTCTCGAGCGCATGGCTGTGTGTGCGTCTGTGTCTGTGTGGTCACGTGATGTGCATTTTCAGAGGTAGAGAGGAAGGAGGGCTGCTTAGTAATGCTACACGCCACTGTGGATGTCAAATCGTTGTCGTTCTAAAATGCCATTTAAAAACAAATACAGTGTAAACAGGGCCTGAGTGTGAACTTTTAGCGAGCGGATTTGCAACGGGGGCGGGCGGACGATCGCGATGCCGGTGTTGTCTATCGGACGAACCGTACGTTTTTTTTGTCGACAACACGAACGTTGTCAACATAACTTACTGGAAATCCAAAATTCTTACACACCGGCGACTTCATTGAAAGAGGAGAGGGTTTAAGCTCTGTCGACGGGTCTCCTGCTTCTGCAGTTTAACAACACTTCAACAAGCCTGTTTTTTTCCCGCTTGGCAAGCCAAGCTGACGTGACATGGGGGCGTGGCAGCATCGACGATTCTATTTTTTGATTCGATAATCGAAATTGAGCATAAATTTTGATCGATTTCGATTAAAAATCGAAATTGTGACACCCCTAGTTGCTTCGCGTTAGCTTTTCTTTCAAGGGATTATTTATGAGTCTAACTTTAACCGTGTGTGTGATATCATCCTTTCATTATCACTCACGGTATGTTTTTTTACCTGCTTTCTTTTGCGTTAACATGGTTTAATTATCATTTTTTACAATAATATTGCTTTAATATGGGAGATTAACTCACTATTTATGTGTAGTTAACTGGTGATCTTTAGCCTGGACTGATTACTGTGCACATGTTTTGTTAAATAAAAAGTTTAGTATACAGCTGTATTTTGCTTGTTTTGACATATTTTAAATTTGTGGCTTAGAAAAACTTGATTGTTTATGGTTAGTGTGGTCAGGGATACATTTGGTAAATCCTTCATTTTGAGCTCTGAAAAGTCATCTGAAATAAAAACCAATTGTTATACTATGAAACCACGACCCATTTGCTTATGATGATTGAGCTCATACACAACACAAAAAGTGAAATGAATGCTTGTGGAGATAACGCAAAATCTAAATCAAGTCATTTTAGCATCTCCAAGTCATATTTATGTGTATAAAATATATTTTCCCAACAAGAAAAGTGGCTAGTGAAAATGGCGAGTGGCTAGTAATGTTGGGAAACTACTAACCACAGTGGCTGGCGGTCAAAAAAGTTAATGTCAGGCTCTAACTATAATATATAGTCCAAATAAAATGCCGATATGATGTCTGCGAGTAGTTCAGTGGTGTGTTTGCGATGGGTGTGATGGTGTTTGTGTGCTTGTCCAGCATTAAAGAGGATCATATAGTGATGAAATCCCAAAAATGGCGATCACTGAGCAAGCGGAGACGAATACACCCCAAAAAAACTGATTTCGTTTTAGAAATGGTGTCTCAAAAGCCGCTAAGCTCTACACCAGAGCAAAGCATATGAGTGTCTGGGATTTACAGCGATTACAGGCAGGATCTATATGCTGAAAGTGCTTTGAGGAGTTCAGTGTTGTGTTTGCGGATGGCTGTGATGCTGTTTTGTGTTTGTCCAGGATTAAAGAGGATCATGTGATCCAGCATGGGCTGGTGGTGGACGGGGCCAGTCTGTCTCTGGCTCTGCGGGAGCATGAGAAACTCTTCATGGAGGTGTGTAAGAACTGCTCGGCGGTGCTCTGCTGCAGGATGGCACCTCTCCAGAAAGCCAAGGTGAGCTCGCTGACCCTTCCTCATGTCCACATCACACTCTATCCCCCAGAGGCCATGCTCAATACTCAGTGTTAACCCTTGTGTACTGATCAAGATGACTACCCTTTCATTATGTTCAGGGCTGTTTTTGCCCCATTGACCTCCATTATAATCACATTTATGAATTGCAAAGACGTGAAAGCAAAGAATTATGCGCTCGGCTTGTGTGCACAAGAGGCGTGACGCGCTCGCGCCTTCCAGACACACCCAGTTAAATGAATTCCACGAGCGCATCGTGAGCCACTGGACAAGATCTGACCCATCTGCTTTAGCTAGTATGGAATATACACGTTTGGTTGATTAAGCATTGTTTGCGGTGCCTCATTCAGGCAAATCGTATTAATCGTGGTGCCTCATTCATGCAATTTGCATCATTTGCGGTGCCTCATTCACAAGAATTGCATCAGTCCCGGCGCCTCATACACACGAAATGCATCATTCGCGCTGCTTCATTCACGTGAATCACATTGTTTGTGCCGCCTCATTCAAACAAATCACATCGTTCGCACTACCTCATTTGCGCGAATTGCGTCATTTGCGCAGCCTTATTCATGCGAATTGCATCATTTGCGCAGCTTTATTCATGCGAATTGCATCATTTGCGCAGCCTTATTCATGCGAATTGCATCATTTGCGCAGCCTTATTCATGCGAATTGCATCATTTGCGCCGCCTTATTCATGCGAATTGCATCATTTGCGCCACCTTATTCATGAGAATTGCATAATTTGCGCCGCCTTATTCATGCGAATTGCATCATTTGCGCCGCCTTATTCATGCGAATTGCATCATTTGCGCTGCCTTATTCATGAAAATTGCATCATTTGCGCAGCCTTATTCATGCGAATTGCATCATTTGCGCCACCTTATTCATGAGAATTGCATAATTTGCGCCGCCTTATTCATGCGAATTGCATCATTTGCGCCGCCTTATTCATGCGAATTGCATCATTTGCGCTGCCTTATTCATGAAAATTGCATCATTTGCGCAGCCTTATTCATGCGAATTGCATCATTTGCGCCGCCTTATTCATGCGAATTGCATCATTTGCGCCGCCTTATTCATGCGAATTGCATCATTTGCGCCGCCTTATTCATGCGAATTGCATCATTTGCGCCGCCTTATTCATGCGAATTGCATCATTTGCGCCATCTTATTCATGCGAATTGCATTATTTGCGCCGTCTTATTTATACGAATTGCATCATTTGCGCCGTCTTATTCATACGAATTGCATCATTTGCGCCGTCTTATTCATGCGAATTGCATCATTTGCGCCGCCTTATTCATACGAATTGCATCATTTGCGCCGTCTTATTCATGCGAATTGCATCATTTGCGCCGTCTTATTCATGCGAATTGCATCATTTGCGCCGTCTTATTCACGCGAATTGCATTATTCGCACCGCCTTGATCACACGAATCTTGCTGCCTCATTTAAGCAAATCGCATCAATCGCGCAGACTCATTCATGCGAATCGCATCAATCGTTCTGCTGCATTTATACAAACCGCATCATTCTCGCCAATTCACGCGAGTCGAATCTTTTGCGCGGCCTCATTCATGCTGCGTCATTTACGTCAATCGCGTAAATCATGCCGCCTCATTTATGCCAATTGCATCATTCTCGATGTTTCACACGAATCGCATCTTTTGCTCCACCTCATTCACGCTAATTGCGTCATTCACACCGCTTCATTCACAAAAATCGCATAGTTCGCACCGCCTCAACCATGCGAATCGAATCTTTGCGCCACCTCATTTACGCGAATTGCATTATTCTTACTGGCTTATTCACGCAAATCGTATCATTCACGATGCTTCATTCTCACGAATCGCATCAATCGCGCCGCCTCATTCACGGGAATCGCATCTTTTGCGCCACCTTATTCACGCAAATCGCGTATTTTGCGGCAACTCATTTACGTGAATCACTTTATTCTTACTGGCTTATTGACGCAAATCATATCGTTCACGTTGCCTCATTCTCATGAACCACATCAATCGCGCCGCCTCATTCACGTGAATTTCATGTTTTGCTCTGCCTCATTCATGCGAATTGCATCTTTTGCACCGCCTCCTTCACACAAATCGCATAATTTGCGCTGCGTCATTCACAATGGTGCCGCCTCGTTCATGCGAATCGCATCATCAATCGCCGCCTCATTCACACATCACATTGTTCACGCCGCCTAATTCACGCGAATCGCATCATTCGCGCATTTTCATTCCCACAAATCGCATTGTTCACGCCACCTAATTCACGCGAATCGCATTATTCACGCCGCCTCATTCCCACATATCGCATTGTTCACCCCGCTTAATTTACATGGATCGCACCATTTGCACCACTTTATTCACGTGACTCACATCAATCGTGTCGCCTGATTGACGCAAATCACATCAGTTGCACCGCCTCATTCTTCCGCATCTGGTGTGAACACACCAATACACACACACACACACACACACACACTATACTCCATATATAAGCCAGAAACGAAGCTTTTTCATTGCACTGCAACTGATGATCAACAGGAAAATAACAAATTTAACCTGTTCCCAAATCTTCAAAGTATTTTCCCAAAATGTGTGTAAAAATAAGATTTGTCTCCAAAAGTCATTCCATTTGCTGAAACACAGAGAAAGTTGTGACCTCAAACTCGCCCCGGAGCAGATGAAAACATCCCGAACAGCACTCAAACTGCCCCAACACTGGCCTGTTGTTTTCATAGCGCTGGTGTTAATGGCTCCTGTGTGTTTGGCAGGTGGTGCGACTGTTGAAAACATCCCCAGAGAAGCCCATCACATTAGCCATTGGTGACGGAGCCAATGACGTCAGCATGATCCAAGAGGCTCACGTTGGTATTGGTAGGTGCCACACTCTCAAAGGGGCTGATTGAGGTTATTTAAATTAAGAGAAATCTTTTAGTGTTGGATGATATCTTGAGCATATCTGTGCAGTAATAATTCAGGGTGTTCGCAGATCCTTAAAAAGACTTGAAATGTCCCGTCTGTGCAGGAATCATGGGAAAAGAAGGAAGGCAAGCCGTGCGAAACAGCGACTATGCAATCGCGAGGTTTAAATTCCTCGCCAAATTGCTGCTTGTGCACGGCCATTTCTACTACATTAGAATAGCAACCCTCGTGCAATACTTTTTCTACAAGGTACGTGTTCTCAGATTGAGAGATGTGTTGTGTTGTGTTTATGAGCTGGCTGTGTTTATAATGCTCTCTGGGTTTTTCTTCTGCAGAATGTGTGCTTTATCACTCCCCAGTTTTTATACCAGTTCTTCTGTCTGTTCTCTCAGCAAGTAAGTGTCTCCTGATGCTACGGTTTTTGTTGATACAGGATATTTTTTAAAGGAATACTGCGGCCAAAAATGAAAATAATTCAACCTTTATTGGGTGGGTTTTCTTTTGTTGAACACAAAAGAGGATATTTTGAAGAATGTTGGGTGCTGGCACCCATTGACATCCATAGTAAATGATAATTACCTCATTGTTTATTGGTTTTAAACCTTTATGGGGTCTTTTTCTCTTCTATTTAACATAAAAAGAAGATATTTTGAAGAATGTTGGTGGCTGGCAGCCATCGACTTCCATAGTAAAATGAAAATTACTACATTGTTTATTAGTTTTAAGTCTTTATAGGGTTTTTTTTTCTCTTCTGTTGAACACAAAAGAGGATATTTTGCAGAATGTTGGGTGCTGGCACCCATTGACTTCCATAGTAAATGATAATAACCTCATTGTTTATTGGTTTTAAACCTTTATGAGTAATTTTTTTTCTTTATTGAACAAAAAAAGAAGAAGATATTTTGAAGAATGTTGGTTGCTAGCACCTATTGACTTACACAGAAGACTTTCATAGTAAATGAAAATTACCTCATTGTTTATTGGTTTTAAACCTTTATGGGGTCTTTTTCTCTTATATTTAACACAAAAGAAGATATTTTGAAGAATGTTGGTTGCTGGCAGCCAACGACTTCCATAGTAAAATGAGAATTACTACATTGTTTATTAGTTTTAAGTCTTTATAGGTTTTTTTTTTCTTTTCTGTTGAACACAAAAGAGGATATTTTGAAGAATGTTGGTTGCTGGCACCCATTGACTTCCATAGTAAAATGATAATTACCTCATTGTTTATTGGTTTTACTGTATACCTTTATGAGTTTATTTTTACTTCCATTGAACACAAAAGGAGATATTTTGAAGAATGTTGGTTGCTGGCACCCATTGACTTCCATAGTAAAATGATAATTACCTCATTGTTTATTGGTTTTATTCCTTTATGAGTTTATTTTTACTTCTATTGAACACAAAAGGAGATATTTTAAAAAAATGTTGGTTGTTGGCACCCATCGACTTCCATAGCAAATGATAATTACCTCATCATCTATTGATTTTAAACCCTCATGGGTATTTTTTTTTCTTTTATTAAACACAAAAGAAGATATTTTGAAGAATGTTGGTGTCTGGCACTCATCTACTTCCATAGTAAATGTTAATTACCCTATTGTTTATTGGTTTTATCCCTTCGAGAATTAATTTTCTCTTCTATTGAACACAAAAGAAGATATTTTGAAGAATGCTGGTTGCTGGCACCATCGACTTCCATAGTAGACTTCCATGGTAAAATAATAATTACCTCATTGTTTATTGGTTTCATACCTTCACAGGTTTATTTTTCCTTGTATTAAACAAAAAAGAAGATAATTTGAAGAATGTTTGTTGCTGGCATTTATTGACTTCCATAGTAAAATGATAACCTCATTGTTTATTGGTTTTATACCTTCATGGGTTTATTTTTACTTCTATAGAACACAAAAGAAGATATTTTGAAGAATGTTGAATGCTGGCACCCATTGACTTCCATAGTGAAATGACAATTACCTCATTATTTATTGGTTTTATACCTTTATGTTTTTTTTTTCCTTATGTTGAACACAAAAGGGGATATTTTGAAGAATGTTGGTTGCTGGCACCCATTAACTTCTATAGTAAAATGATAATAACCTCATTGTTTATTGGTTTTAATTCTTTATAAGTTATTTTCTTTTCCTTCTGTTGAACAGAAAGGGAGACTGTTGGTTGCTGGCACTCTTTGATTTCCGCAGTGCTTTCTCTCCACATGAACAGTGTGATTTTTCTCAGTTTTTATTGCAGATGTTTGACATGCTCTCTTGTGCTCGACAGACTCTCTATGACAGCGTGTATCTGACGCTGTATAATATCTGCTTCACCTCTCTGCCCATACTGGTGTACAGTCTGTTTGAGCAGCTGGTGCATCCTCACGTTCTGCAGAGCAAACCAGCACTTTACAGGTAAAAAGCCCACGACCAGCGCTTCAACATGCTACAGATGACTGTCACACACACACACATCTATGACAATTAGGGCTGCTCGATTATGGGGAACAATCATAATCGCGATTATTTTGGTCATAATTGTAATCATGACGCTATCGTTATTCAAATCAATATACAGATGAAGTCCGAATTATTAGCCCCCCCCCCCTTGATTTAAGTATTTAGCTCTTTCTATTGGCCCCTTAATACACTCAAACGTCAAATGGTACATTATTGAAATAAATGAATAATACAGCGGTAGAGCGACCATCACACACTTCTCCTCGGAGCTCGCTGAACTGAACTGAGCTCCCATACATGCGTGCTTACATCTCAAAGGTAAAACAACCACAGGAATAGTCCTCTTAAAGCGGACATTTATACACAATGCATATCAAACATTAAGCGACCGTTACAATATCACAATAATTAAGCTAGAAAAAAAACAGCGCAATCACTAACTTACCAGACTGCTGTTGTGTTTGCAAAAAGGAGGGACGAGGCTGAATTCATCTTCTTATTCGCAGCTTCTTATTGACTCATCCGGTCCACCTTAAAAACTGTGACGCTTCCGTTTTTCAGCTTCTTATTCGCGCTTAGTAAAACACACTAAGCAAGGGCTTATTATGCGGTGCTGGCGCCATCTTGTGGATGGACAACGTTCAACCGTCTTTGGTCGCCGACGAGCTCTCAGAAATTGTAAATGTTTTAAAATAGGCACTATTCTTGCAAATAAACTGCATAGTTGCAATCTAAACAACTACATTCTAGACTAAAAAAGCCTCAAAAGTACATTTGTTGTCTGACAACAGTAATATTTGTCAAACTGTAGCGCCTCTGCTTGTAAATGGCTGTATGTGAGCGGAGTAATACACAGAGATGAAGGGCGAAGAGGCCTTTGTGTGATGTAACTAGCAAAATATTGCACGGCTATCAGCCAATCAGATTCAAGAACCAGAAAGAACTGTTGTGTGTTTGCGTGTGTGTGTGTGTGTGTGTATATATATATATATATATATGCTCTTTCCGTTCTTCAGAGACATCAGTAAAAATTCCCTGCTCTCCTTCAAAACCTTTTTGTATTGGACCGTCCTGGGCTTCTGCCATGCCTTCGTCTTCTTCTTCGGGTCCTACATCCTGATGGGAGAAGACACCACGCTGATGGGAAACGGACAGGTCTGAATCTCACACTTCCTTTCTTCTCTTTATCTGCTCTTTCTTTCCTGTTCTGTCGTTCAGGCTCATGTTTTTGTGTGTGTGTTTTGTGGCAGGGTCTTATTTTGCTAGCATGACCGTCTTTTGATATCCTCATAACAGGAGGAGGAATATATATGCCAAATACTGCCGTCTTGTGTTGTTTATTGTGAAAAATTCTATCTGGATAACTATCTCTAATCTGGATCTAGTCTAGTTTTCAGGTAAAGTGCAGACAATTGTGACAAAGTGTTTTGATTTTAGTTACTTAAACAAATTGATTTTGCACTGGAGGTGTGTGGAACAGTATAATCACAATTCTGTTGAACAGAGTAGGAGTTAACAGATATATTCATGATATACGCTATCTGACCAAAGTCTTGTCGCCCATCCAAGATTTAGGAATGGCAAATAATAACTTGACTTCTAGTTGATCGTTTGGTATCAGAAGTGGCTTATATGAAAGGCAAAGGCCTCTAGATTTTGCTTATTTGAGCACAATAAAATGTGATCATGCCTTGATTATTATTGATTTCTTTAGGACAGTAAGGTCTGGTGCTAAGAAAACGTAAAATTGCGGCTGTTAAATTACAGAAATTAACTGTAAAATAAAATATGTTGAATAATAGAAATTAATCAGAAATGTAAGTACATTTCTGTAATTTAATATCCGTTATTTTACAGTAAATTTCTGTAATTTAATATCCGTTACTTTACAGTAAATTTCTGCAATTTAATATCCGTTATTTTACAGTAAATTTCTGTAATTTAATATCCGTTACTTTACAGTAAATTTCTGTAATTTAATATCAGTTATTTTACAGTAAATTTCTGTAATTTAATATCAGTTATTTTACAGTAAATTTCTGCAATTTAATATCCGTTATTTTACAGTAAATTTCTGTAATTTAATATCAGTTATTTTACAGTAAATTTCTGTAATTTAATATCCGTTATTTTACAGTAAATTTCTGTAATTTAATATCCGTTATTTTACAGTAAATTTCTGTAATTTAATATCAGTTATTTTACAGTAAATTTCTGTAATTTAATATCCGTTACTTTACAGTAAATTTCTGTAATTTAATATCCGTTATTTTACAGTAAATTTCTGTAATTTAATATCCGTTACTTTACAGTAAATTTCTGCAATTTAATATCCGTTACTTTACAGTAAATTTCTGCAATTTAATATCCGTTATTTTACAGTAAATTTCTGTAATTTAATATCAGTTATTTTACAGTAAATTTCTGTAATTTAATATCAGTTATTTTACAGTAAATTTCTGTAATTTAATATCCGTTATTTTACTGTAAATTTCTGTAATTTAATATCTGTTATTTTACAGTAAATTTCTGTAATTCAATATCAGTTATTTTACAGTAAATTTCTGCAATTTAATATCAGTTATTTTACAGTAAATTTCTGTAATTTAATATCTGTTATTTTACAGTAAATTATACTTTACGAGTAAGTTATTTTACTCGTGTTTTTTTTATCATCCAGCCCTATTTGAGAGTTTATTTGGCGGTCACGATATATTCAGCCATACCGCCCAGCCTCCAGATTTTTCGTATAGATCTCAGAAATGCAATCTAAATAATTCAGCCAGAAGCGCTTAAGATAATGAATGCACTTAGACGTTAATAACCGTGACTTAGTCTTAGTGACTATTGATTTGCTCCAGCTTACAGACACACAGCATCAATCCTCCAACTAATTACAGCGTTATCTGGCACTTTGTACCGTTCGGTTAGGTGTCAGTGAATGTCGGCTTTTACTACTTATCCATATTCTCTCTCTTTTTTTCTTGCTTCTCTCTTTCTCTTCCTGCTCTGCATGCTCTCAGATTTTGCGAGCTAACAGGCAACTGGTAAGCGTTGAGTGTGTTCCAGTTGATGCATGCGTGTTCGTAATGAGCAGCTGTCTTTATGAAGGAGTTTAAGCACTCGCTGCATGAGTGGCTCGGATCTCCATGCTTTTGATTCTGTGCCATGCTCAATTAGGAGGGTGAGTTTGGGCACGGTTTGGAACAGCTTCCCTCGCTCACGTTTTTGCATCACTGTAAATCATGGAGCCAGATCAGTCTCAGAAATGATATATTTACAAAACTCAGTTCACAAATTCGAAATGCAATTTGTAAATACACAAATCTAATTTGTAAACCCGAAACACAATTCATAAATACATAAAACACTATTTGGAAATTCAAAACATATTTTAAAAATATGCAAATCTTATTCATAAACGAAAAACACAGTTCATAAATAGGCAAACCAAATTCGTATACAGTATATTCAAAGTAGAACTCATAAATATGTAAATCCAATTTATAAATTTGAAACACAATTCATAAATACATAAAACACAACTTGTTCATTCAAAACACAATTTGTAAATTTGAAACAGTTAATAAATACACAAAACATTTGTAAACTCAAAACACAATTCGTAAATATGCAATCCAATTCGTAAACTCAAAACGGTTAATAAATAAACAAAACAATTTGTAAATTTAAAGTACAGTTTATAAATATGTAAATCAAATTTAAAAATTCAAAACACAATTCATAAATACATAAAACACAATTTAATTCAAAACAATTAACAAATACTAAAAAAACACAATTCGTTAATTTCAAAACACAATTCATAAATGCGCAAATCCAATTAGTAAACTCAAAGTACAGTCCATAAATATGTAAATCCAATTTATAAATTTAAAACACAATTCAGAAATACGCAAATTCAATTCATAAATTAAAAATAAAGTTTAGAAATATGTAAATCAAATTCATCAATTCAAAAAACCTTATTCATGAATGCATAAAACACAATTCGTAAATTTAAAACAGTTTGTGAATTCAAAACACAATTCATGAATTTAAAACACAATTTGTAAATTCAAATCACAATTCGTAAATTCAAAACACAACCCGTGAATTCAAAACAGTTTGTGAATTCAAACTTTTTCATAAATTTCTAAAATCCTGTTCCTAAATCCAAAACACATTTTGTGAATTCAATTTATCTTTGCTAATGTATTAGTTTTGAGACTAATCTGGCTCCATAGAAAAGGCTTCCGACAGTTTGGTATAAAACCAGCTGCTGTTTTATTTGGATGAATTGAAAGCTTCGTGATGATGAGCCACTCATGCAGCATGTTAAAGAGGCCATGTGATGATGTGTTTGTTACCTTTTATTAAATTGGTTTAAGGAAATGTGTAAAGCTGTAAATATAAGCTCCTCCTTCCCAGACATTCGGAGACATGGATTGTAATAGGTCAAACATCTTAATTGTTTGTTTAAAGTGTAACTGTTATTTTTATAGGAGCCATTTTGCCTCTAAAGCATGTGTGTGTGTGTCTATATATATAGACATATATATATATATATATATATATATATATATATATATATATATATATATATATATATATATATATATATATATATATATATATATATATATATATATATATATATATATATATATATATATATATATATAAACATTTATATCAATATTAAAAATGTTTATACCTTGTCTTTTGCCGTAATATCTGTGTATCTAGCTTTATGCTAATATTTTAAGGTTTTATGTAGACATCTGATTAAGTTATGTATGCTTTAGGATTAACATTATATTAATATTTAGCATTATGACGTACACATACAGAAATAATGACTGCCTTTGGATTAGCATTGTGCTAGTATTTTAAATTGTTACAGACGTTGATGTTTGTTTAACAACAATACTAGATTAACATGATAACTGATATAAGAGTAGGTTAGCATAATGCTAATATTGAAAATTGGAATGTAGACGTTTAAGGAAGTAATATATGTCTTTACTCTGACACAGATGTTTACAGAAATAATGTCTGCCTGTAGATTAGCATTATGCCAACATTTTAAACTGTGACGCAGATGTTTACAGAAGTAATATCTGCCTGTAGATTAGCATAATGCTAATATTTCAAACTGTGACGCAAATGTTTACAGAAGTAAGATCGGTTTGTGGATTAGCATTATGCTAACATTTAAAATCTTGCAGTAGACATCTGTGGGAGTAATATCTGCTTTAGATTAGCATTTTGCTAACATTTTAAACTGTGACGCAGATGTTTACAGAAGTAATATCTGCCTGTAGATTAGCATAATGCTAATATTTCAAACTGTGACGCAAATGTTTACAGAAGTAAGATCGGTTTGTGGATTAGCATTATGCTAACATTTAAAATCTTGCAGTAGACATCTGTGGAAGTAATATCTGCTTTAGATTAGCATTTTGCTAACATTTTAAACTGTGACGCAGATGTTTACAGAAGTAATATCTGCCTGTAGATTAGCTTTATGCTAATATTTCAAACTGTAATGCAGATGCTTACATTAGTAACATCTGCCTTTGTATTAGCATTATGCTAACTGACTTTCTTGGAATATATTAAAAATATATAAAATTGTACTGAAATGAGACTTAAAGTTTGAAAGTTTAATTTGTAAGTCACACTTAAGCAAAACCACAACGCATCATCTGCCCTCCTTAACAAAGCAAAGAGCTGAACTGAGCTGAAAACTGGAGACTGTCATTAAGATCTGTGTCTTCTCTGCAGATGTTTGGAAACTGGACGTTTGGCACTTTAGTATTCACTGTGATGGTTATTACGGTAACACTGAAGGTACGTTCACACACAGATGCTGCATGTTTGAGTGTGTGTGAGTGAGCCGTGAGCTTCACCTGTGTGTGTTTTCTGCACAGCTGGCCTTAGAGACACACTTCTGGACGTGGATGAATCACTTCGTCACGTGGGGCTCCATCGCCTTCTACTTCATCTTCTCCCTGTTTTACGGCGGCATCATCTGGTACTGTATCGCACGTGATAAAACCATAATGACACCTGCAGGAAAACAAGCTTCAGTGTTTCCCCTTAGCTGTTCAGAATCACTCTGACACCAGGAGTCCTGGTCTTTTAATGACAGCAGTAAATAACCGAGCAGCTATTTGAACTGTAAATTGTAATTGAACATTTATTTTAGATCTCTTTAATTCAATTCAATTCAGCTTTATTTGTATAGCGCTTTTCCAATGTAGATTGTGTCATTAAATGGTCATAGTAACTGGATCAGGGTAGTTCAGTATTAAGTGTTTAAGTTCATTTCAGTTTAGCTCAGTTCAGTGTGGTTTTAAGTCATTACTGAAAGTTCAAACACTGAAGAGCAAATTCATCGATGCGTAGCTCTACCAATCCTGAACCATGCAAGCCAGTGGCGACAGCGGCGAGGGAAAAAAACTTCACTGATAGGAGAGTAAAGAAAAAAAAAACCTTGAGAGAAACCAGACTCAGTTTGGCACGACCATTTTAATTTCTCCACTGGCCAAAAGTCTTGTGCAGAGCTGCAGTCTCAGCGTTGGAGGCTGGAAGCTGGCCTCAGCGAAGACTCGTCTGTCCCTGGAATCAGTCTCATGCTCTCCCCCATGACCACCAGTGCAGCAGCAGCTCAGGATACGGCCTGGTCCCGGATATGGACACCTTGGGTTTTATTCACAAACTGTGCAGCTTTTATCACTGCACTGTATCTTTATGGGCTTCTGGAAGAACATTTCCTGAGCCTTTTGGTATGCAAAGTCAAAAATGTCTGGCCCATTTATTAAAAACTTTTAGGATGCTTTCACTTTTCCTAGACTTTTGTTTCGGAACCTGTCTCGTTTGCCCAGTTAGCGCGGTTCGTTTAGCATATGTGAAACCACCAATCGCACTCGGATCTGCGCCAAAACAATCGCTCCAAGATCGCTTGAATGAGGTGGACTCAGCTCGATTGAAACAAACTCTGGAGCGGATCGATTGTAGTCAGAAAGCGATACGATCCGAGCGTGGTGATATCACAGTGATTTATGGATATGTAATAAGCATACGGCTATATGAAGAGAGAATTGAGTGGGGCGGGAGGTCATTCAACAGACATCCCAAGTCTCCCGGAAGTTTCAGGAGTCTCCCGCAAATGCACAGAGCCTCCAGAACACCCACAAACGAGTGATAATCTCAGAAATCACGCGTTTCCCTCCCGGTCCTCAAATAAACGTCGTAGATCATATGTCTGGAAGAAATCTGTTTTTGCAGATGTTCAAATTGCTAGTTTTCCTTGCTGCTTCATTAAATTACAACCCCTAAATATGTAGTTACATGCTTGCAAAAATAACATTCAGTTTGATGATATACAGCGAGGAAAATAAGTATTGAGCACGTCACCGTTTCTCTCAGAAAACATATTTCTAAAGCTGCTGTTGACTTGAAATGTTCACCAGATGTTGGTAGCAACCAAAGAAATCCATATATGCAAAGAAAACAAATTTAATTAGCTTACAAATGAAGTTCGGTGTAATAAAATGAAATGACACAAGAAAAAAGTATTGAACATATGAAGAAATGAAGGTGTAGCAAAACAGTGAAAGCCCAGACAGCAGCTGAAATCTCTCAGTAGTTCTTCAGCAACCCTCTGCTCTTCCTCAGTGTAAATGAACATCAGCTGCTTCAGTCCAGCATCTACATTAGCAGGAGGATGAAGATGAACCCAGGGTGGACATTTCAGCAAGACGATGATCCAAAACACAGCCAGGGAAACTCTCAAATGCTTTCAGAGAAAAAAAATCAAGCTGTAGAATGGCCCAGCCAATCACCTGAGCCGAATCCAATAAAAACACAAAATAAAGCTCAGATTTGATAGACGAGAAGCATCAAGATTATAGGTGATTGCATGTGTGGAGCTGTGCTACTATTTCTCGAGCTCTCCAATTGTTTATCCTGATGAAGACCATACAGGTCGAAACGTGACTTTTAAAAGATTTTCGAGAGCTAAAGTGGCAGTGTGCGGATTTTCTTTTGATCTTTTGCTAGTGAATCCATTAACTAACATTAGCCTTATTGTAAATCTTGACCAATAATGTAATTAGTAATGAATTACCTTTTTTTTTGATTACCCAATACTGCTCAGGAATGATGTCCAAATCTGGTATTTTCTCTTCTAAATGGTGTTTATTGAAGGGTTGTTGATTTCCCAGTGATAACAGTTTCTTCTTGGACTCTGGATCTGCTCTCTGTGATCGCTCAGTTCAAGAGCTCAATATTTGGCTCCGTCCCTCAAACAATTACCCGCTTGCTCATTAGTTGTGTATTTGACAGCGACATCAAACGCTTGTTGATTTCCACTGATTGGAGAATAATTGATGTTTGGTTTTTTTTCTCCGTCAGGCCGTTCCTTCACACGCAGGACATGTACTTCGTCTTCGTCCAGCTTCTGTCCAGCGGCTCGGCCTGGTTCGCCATCATCATCATCATCATCACCTGTCTGTTTCCTGACGTCATCAAGAAGGTGTTTTACCGGCACCTGCACCCCACCAGCACGCAGAAATCTCAGGTAGAGCACTGTTTAATCTATGCTGATGTTATTGACGTGTACTGTTGAAGTCTGTATTATTCGCCGTCCTGTTAAATTTGAATTCTTTTAAAATATTTCACAAGTGATGTTTAACAGAGAGAAGATTTGTTTCAATGCATTTTTAAAGATAATCATTTTAAAAACTAATTTCTAATGATGCCGTATAATATATCCGTTTTGAAACGGATCACGAATATCACAGTTCAGATCACATAATGGTTTTTTAGTCATGGATCGAACCATTCTGTGGATCTGCCAAAAAGAGGAGACAAATGTAGTATGCTTGCTTTTAGTTTTAACAAACAGAACGTAGAACCTAAAATTTAATTAAATATATTATGAAGAAATACTCAGCTGAATAAAAATAAATGGTAAAATATTCAGTCCTGTGAAAAGTTCACTGCTACTTCTACTGTTGCTGATAACGGTCAATGCAGAAATCTAACATCATAATTTGTACAACCCATATTTATACTTTGTCCCATTTTCGATAAATTATTCAGTTATTCACTCATAAAACTTCACGTTTTGTCGCTGGATGATCATTTTTGAAGAATTATTCAGTGGCATATGTTTGATGGCTGGTTGGCGCCACCTAATGGTTAAATAATGCAATTGCAGCCTACAACTTTCACTTTTGAGCATCAAGTTAAATGCATATGATGGTGATTTTAAACTTTACCATAAACATCAGTGGTTTTATCTGAACTATAAGCTGCTCTCCCAGTACTGCTGTGTTATTTGACTGTTCGTAATTTCATAACTAACTCAAAAGACTAAAGACTGAATCTCTTTCTTGATATTGCCGTCTTTTAAATTTAACAGATTTGAATGCAGCGATTGGAAGGATTAATAAGCATATGCAAATCACCATCATTCATAGTTGATGTTGCGTGGGTGTTGAGATCCTGATCTTTTGATGATTAATCCTACACTGAATGCATTAATGCAGGCTAAACAAGCAGTGACAGAAAACACCTTTAATAACCTGAGAAACCCACCACATCCTGAATATCCCACCACAACTTCTTACATCATCATTATATTTTACAGGAAAGCCTAAATGCTTTCATACATGTGATTTGAATGGCAAGAGAGGCGATCTCTCTGCGATCGTTACAATTTTAGGAATTATCTACAAGCATAAAAAAGCATAATCCGTGGGTCACGTGTGTTCCGAACCATGGGTTGTGATCCATGCGAATCATGGTTGATCAATTACACCCCTAATGTTTTGAGATACTAGTATTCAGCTGAAAGTGCATTAGACAACAGCAGTTTGTTCGTTTGACAATCGTAAACAAATTATTTCTTAATGGGGCTAATGATATCGAATGGTTTTAAAAATGTTAAAAGCAACATAATTCCATGAATAATACAGGGTGTCCACGGGGTCTTAAGAAGACTTCAAGAAGACTTAAGAAGTTTCTTAAAACAATCCAAAGAAACAGCATTCCTGATGCTGGTGGGTAGGCCATTCCATAGCTTAGGCGCACTGTACAAAAAAAGCACGACCACCCATAGTCTTCAGTTTACAGCGTGGCTGATACAGCAAGATTGCAGATGAGGAACGAAGACTACGGGTGGGAGTGGCCAGAGTAACCAGGTCACAAATGTAGTCGGGTGCTAGCCCATGCACTGCTTTGTATGTTAAAACCAGAGTCTTAAAATCAATACGTGATTGAACAGGAAGCCAGTGAAGTTGCTGAAGTACAGGGGTAATACGATGGCGCGAGGAAGCGTGTGTTAAAACCCGTGCAGCAGAATTTTGAATGTACTGTAAACGTCTCAGAGAGCTCGCTGGTAGGCAAGATTACATGATTACATGAATCAAGATACATGATTAACAGTGTTCAGAATAAAAAGAAATAAATGAAGAAAAATCTAATTAAAAAGCCAACAGAAACTGTAATGACCTTTGTTTAATACACTTCCTGACAAATGTCTTGTCGCCATTAGGAACAACAAATAATAACTTGACTTCTAGTTGATCGTTTGGTATCAGAAGTGGCTTATATGAAAGGGAAAGGCCTCTAGATTTGCTTATTTGAGCACAATAAAATGTGATCATATCTTGATTATGAATGATTTGATGAGGACAGTGCGGTCTGACTCTGCTCAGACTAAAGTCTCATCACTGAACAGAAATAATGTCCAGTATAGAATATAAAGTCCTGCTGCAGTGGAGACAGAATGAATATTGTGTCTGACTCCATCATGAGCTTGGGGGACTGCATCCATACATCTCTGACACGACTCAAATCACTAATTAATAAAGTCATCTGGAATGAAGAAGAAAGCCTTCAGCAGGACTCCCAGAGTTCATCAAGATCCTCTGGATTCATCTTCAACGCCTCCTCCTTCATCTGACCCCAGACATGCTCAATAATGTTCATGTCTGGTGACTGGGCTGGCCAATCCTGGAGCACCTTGACCTTCTTTGCCTTCAGGAGCTTTGATGTGGAGGCTGAAGTATGAGAAGGAGCGCTATCCTGCTGGAGAATTGTCCCTCTCCTGTGGTTTGTAATGTAATGGGCAGCACAAATGTCTTGATACCTCAGGCTGCTGATGTTGCAGATCTCTCGCACGTCCCGATACTGAATGCAACCCTAAACCATGACTTCTCCTTCACCAAACTTGACTGATTTCTGTGAGAATCTTGGCTCCATGCTGGTTCCAGTGGGTCTTCAGCAGTATTTGTGATGATTGGGATGCAGATCAACAGATGATTCAGCAGAGAAATCCACCTTCTGCCACTTTTCCGAATGATCAACTAGAAGTCAGGTTATTATTTGTTGCTCTCACAACTGGCATCCACAACCAGACCTTTGTCAGAAAGTGTGTCTCTCCCTAATCAAACACGCATGAACCAGCTCATCAGAATATTAGAGAGACTCCAAAACCTGAGATGAATGGATCAAATAAGGAAGACATCCAAACTATGTGCTGCTGTTGTGCCTCCAGGAACAGCTTTGGGAAACACTGATTTAGATCACAGCGATTAGTTTGTAGGGGTTGAGGCACAGGTCACCCCTAACACACACTGAATTTCAAATGTGCGTAATCGCTCATCATCAAGCATTATTTAATGCGATATTAGAAAATGTGCATGTAAATATGTGTATGGAAACACAGCTAGTGTCTGTCAGTGTGTTTTGTGGTCTCTGCTGCAGCACAGGTCTGTGGCGTCAGCATCTGCTGTCCTGCGGATGACACCCGATACTTTTCAAGATCTCTCTCTCTCTCTCTCTCTACTTCTGCTGCTTGTTTCCTGTTTCCTGTCTGTCATTTCTGAATGTGTGTGGTTAGTGCTCTGTAGCTTGTATGTGTGTGTGTGTGTGTATTACTTCACATGTGACTCTTTCTCCTCTCTACTGCCCCTCTCTATGTGTGTGTGTTCTGTAGATGTACACCAACCGCGTGGCTATAGGTGACGACTTCATCGCGCTTCAGCCTCTGTCCCGAGCCAAGAATCAGCTGGGCAAGATTAGGTAGAGTAGGAGAGACACTCTCACACTGCATGCGGTGGACGAAACTAACAAGATAACCCAGAGAGATGAACCACACACGGGTCTAACTGTTCACCCTGCATGCCAGACCTGTTTACCTGCTGTAGTGCACGACTCTGAGGGTCACAAATGAGCATGTTTGAGGACGCTTCCTCGTGCTGCATGGGCTTCAGCTCACAGCCCCATCGGATGCTTTGTATACACGGCATTTAGGAATATAAGTGTTATCCGGATCGCATGCTCCCTAAATGATTTTATAGTCTATCAACGAGCACAGAAAGTGATCTCCAGTCCCACACACTGCAGGAAGTTGATAAAACTCTGAGTTTGGCATTTGAGATGATCAGCTTTGTTCCAAAACCCAGTGATCTGCCGGTATCAGAAGTGGAAGAGTATCCAAAATCTATACTCATGTCAAAGTGCAAGTACTTGCGGAAATATTTACTCAAGTAAATACGCTTACTCGAGTAAGAGTAAAAAAGTACCATGGTAAGTGTGGCGCAGATGCTAGAACCTGCCTTAATGCATACGCGACGTCGTAAATTGTATAAATGTAAATATGTGAATCAGATACAGTATTGGTCACAGTTAAAAGAACATGTAAACAGACAGGCAACAAATCAGAATTGGGCATCAAGACCTGACAGTGTAAACGGAGCCTTTGACACTTACCACTGTGCGTTTGTTCAGGTTGGAGCTGTAATTCAAGTATATGTTGCGATGTCAGTTCAATTTACAGTATAGCGTTTATACTTCTGCGTCAAGTGACCGGCGTAATCCACGCCGCATGCAACGCATGTAGCTGTGCAATCATACCTCTGCGCACTGTCTCTGTTGGTCTGCATTAACACTTCCTGTGTAAATGTAAATATTCCTATGTCGAGTTTCTTTTCAACTTTAACTATGAGGTAAACACAAAACAAAACTTTACATCTGGAGCTCCTTCACGGAACTCCACACTTGTAAACAATCGCTCCATCAGGCTCACACTATTAGCGCGGCTCTCAGTCCCGCCCAGACTCGTAAGCGATACCAAGCCGACCAATCACAGAGCTTGCGCTACGCGTCGTTGTGACGTTTAGTTACATTTTTTGAGAGGTGCACATCAGTGACGCCGACGGCCAAGGCGAAGGGCTATGCGTCAGCGCCGTAGCATACACGTCCCTTTGACGCAGAAGTATAAATCAGCCTTCACCGTCCTTCTCAAAACCGCAAATGGCCATAGCATGGCCGCATTACAAACGCGTCTTCCTTGATTTTTAGCCAATCTTCCAACATAAGCACACGCGCTCTAACCGAAAGCGAGAGACCTCTCGTGACACATCCTCTCCACTGCGGCGCCTTGTGACACTTGCAAACAAGTTATATAAATCCTATTCATTATCATTTGACAGTAACAGAGGAACGCCGCCAAATGTAGCGAAGAGTAATGATTGATCTCTATTTGTTTACTTGAGTAAAAGTACACAT